CGTAATTTCTGCGCTGCAAAAAAGTTCCGACCGGTGGGATATTAATTGCGGCGAGGTTTTGGGCTTTCCAGTCTTCAGATCTGTATTAAGGTGGTTTCTCAGAACTTTGGAAAGTGATTTGGACGTCGATCTATCAGTTGATGAGTTTTGGATTTTAGTACAGTTCCTGAGAGTTTTCGGGCATCTTTCCTATCCCTCTACAGTACGATAGAGTAGAGGTATTTGTATACAACCTTTTCACTAAAAAACACTTTGAAATAACTGCGAAAACATGTCCCAAGTGAATACGATACAGCAACGTCGCGACGTGCGGTATTCAACAGCACTGGAAAAACAGTCTCTTGGATCTTGAGTCCAGACTTTTAAAAAATTTGACCGAAAAAATGGTCTCGATTCAGTCGGATTTTTGCTTGAATCGAGAGCCATGGCTCTGAATGTAAGCATATTTCCTGTCGATTCAAGCAAAAATCTGATTGAATCATAAGTGTATTTTCTTGTCAATTTTTCAAGAGTCTGGACTTTGGATCCAAGAGACTTGTTTCCTGTGAGGGACTACCTCTTTGAAGGCTAAATTTCAGAGTGTTTTTTTGTCAAATTGTGTGTACATTACCTGACGCTTGATGTCCAGAATCCAGAAACCATTAATTGATTGGTCATCGAATCGTATTTTCAAAGTGCTAAAGAACCATCTACAGGAAATGATTTTCACCAACATATGTTCAGAGTCCAGAAATTATTAATTTATCGATTGGTCGAATCGGTCAAGAAGAACCACCTAAAGTAAGTTATTTTCTCCAACATTTCCTGAAAACCAACTCCCAAATTTTTTTACGACAAAGAAAACGAAAAGTTAGGTGGATCCGACCCAGATTTCTTCCTTTAAAATTCAAGCATCCCATCGTCGCCTGACGAACTACTATCTCGAGACCCTTCACCCTTCATCCTCGGCCCATATTTCACAGGAGTTGATGCGTGCAGCCTCGTCTTATCGCCCGTGGCCTTTTTTTCCTCCTCGCCGAAGAAACTAGCGTCATCCTTCACGCCCAAGTTCCGCAACTGATAACAGCCCCCGCTCGCAATTCGCCCGGTTATCAACAACGGAGAACTTTCAGGGCGCGCCGAGAAAAACCCCCGTCGAAGCTCCGAAAGTTCCCTCGCGCGAACAAATTCATAACCGGAAAGTTTGCGCCGCGGAGCCCAATCTCGCCGACGATCATTATAATTCGAATATTCTATTAAGAGCGAAAGTTTTCAAATATTTGTATTGATTCGCTATTCATACCCCGAAGAAGAAGAATATCAAACACACTCGAGTGATATCAATCATCCACTTAGGGCACCTTCGGGGCCCCTCCCCATTCAAATTCGGGCTCGCCCATTATGCTCGTGAAAGGACTCGAAAAGTCGGAAAAAAGGAGTGCGGTAAGAAAGTTTCCCGGGCTCCGTGATCCGATGTCGTATAATTTGACTTTTAAAAGTTGGTAATAATGAGTATAACGAAGCGGAGCCGCCAGGGCTGCCAACTTCTCGCTCGGATCGCGCGTCGCGGCGGTGGTATGAATTTTCGAGCGCACGATCTGGCAACTCGGCGTGGCGGTGTCGTGCGGCGGCGGTGGAGGGCACGGCTCGTTGCGTCCGAATCGATTGAAGGGGCGGGTTGAAGTTATCGAGACACGCATTGCGAAATTGGGGGTCTCAGTCTCCGTCCTGCATCGGCGTGTTGATGGATCGACTCCATGAAGGTGCGACGTTGTCGTTTATATTGAAAAAATAATCGCTCTGTAAAAATTCAATTGCAATTACTATTTTATAGTTAGACCAAGTTTCATGACATTTATAAATACTTAGGGAAAAAAGTCCCTCGGATCCACAGTTCAGACTCTTAAAAGACTTGACAAGAAAAAATAGATTGCTTTCCTTAAATTGAGAGCCAAACCTCTTAATTTAAGCTGATTTTATAGTTATTGTCTATAACAGAGTCAATTTTGACAATTCTTTTTTTTATTTCTTTCTTTAAGATTTTTTTTCATTCTTGTCTTCCTATTGAACTGACCGCTTCCGTCTATAACTAATTCTTCCATCTTAGAATTTCATCGGTTTAGGTGAAGGTCCAATAGAAGTTCTCATAACGCGGAAAGTTCTCGGAATGGACCATAAAGTGAAATAAATTATTACTCGTTAAATGTTTTTTTAGCAGACTTTTACCTGCTATACCTCACCTGCTCACTTGCTCACCTGCTATGTTAAGTCTCGACTAATTTCCAATAGAAAATGCGGATATGACGTCAAATATAGAGGAAAATAAATTCGGCACATAAGTCGGTGCAGAATTTTTGAAATCGCAAAAAAAAAAAAATAAATAAATAAATAAATAAATAAATAAATAAATAAATACCTGTAGCTTTAAAAGTAACCTTCTCATTCAAACTTTCTTAAGTTAATTATGAGATAGCCTCAAATCGTTCTATTCGTGGTCTCCAATGGAATGGTAAGGTCTCACTTGACAACGAAAATTGTTACAACAGAATTAGGTAAAATGAAGCATTTTTGCTCACTTCGACTGAAGAAACAACTGGCAGTTCCCACGAGACCCTTCGCAATTCACCATCCATTTTATCCATGATTTTTTCTTCGAACAGTCATTCGGACGAGATTCCTTATTCAAGTAAACCAAAACCATATTATCCAGAAATTTGACAGCAACGGCCAGTACCAAGTGCGTGCCGACACAGGTAGACGCAACACGCAACACACGCCCGCGCTGCGTTAATCGAACTGCCGCGGCGCGTTTACGGGCCCGAGCCCCGCGAGGGTGGGGGGTGATATATGCCGAGGGTGTGGAGAAAGTAATCACTCCCGCATCATTACCTCGAGTCTATCGATACGTCACTCCCATACTCCGCAGGCAGAAAATCGAAAATCGATGTATCGAAACGATAACCGCGATCACGACGGCTCCCCTCGCGCGCGTTATTAAGGCCGCGGCGGAAATAGGCCGTTTCATGGTCGATCGAGGGAAAAGACTGCTTTCCGCGACTCGAAAGAATATAGCCCGCGGGCAGGTGCAAAGCGTTGCCGAATCTAGGGAAATTTCCTATATTTTATAGAGGAATTCTGTCGTGCTAAGGAAGAACGCCGTATAAACATTCGAGAGTTGCCAAATTCACTTCGATAAAATTTTTATTTTTGAGGAAAGTTATGAATATTTTTCCTTCAAATTTTGAGAATCCTTAGCTGAAATTGCGAACAAAATTATCTGAAAATTGGGCAGGAAAATGTTCATGAGTTTACCAGGAATTTCGCGTTTTATGAAAGGAAATTTGGCAACGTCTGAAGGTTCATACGGCGTTTTTCCTTAGCATGGCAGAATTAAGTGGGTGTGATTGTTTATTTGGCAGCGGTGGTGGAGCATTTGCATTTTTGCTATAAATTTACGAGCTCGAGTGAATGCAAGTCTGCGCGCGGGGAAATATTACCCCGGTGGTGAACCTGTTAACCCTATGACCGGTGCTTTAATCGGGTTTGCGTATTCTTTCGCTCTTTAGTCTTTGAAGATTAAAATGGTAATCTGTAAGGACCGAGATTGCCGCGGTGAACGACGCCCGGTGTATTCTCTCGTATTTCATCCCTCCGTGGTGCATGGCTCGGGGTTAGAGTTTGGTCGGATTGAATTGAAACTCGACGCTAATGACTTTCCATCCGCGGTAAATCGCGTAAATGTTTTTCGATTTTTCTTCTTTTTACTTCTTCGTCTTGCTCTCGTGTATTACTGGCTGGTTTTTGCCGCAATGTTGATTAGCAGATAAACTTCGAAATAGAAAATTTATAATCTTTTAGTCTGACCTCGAAGGTTATGAGTATGCTTTAGACTGTAGAATGCAACTCCAGGGTGGTTTGAGTATTATCCATAATGGTCTTACCATTGATCTTCTATTACTGTGCAGTTTTTGTCTAAAATGGTGCTAATTTTTTTGGTGCAATCGGATGATAAATCAGTGAATTTCCGACTCAAAAACCGCCAACTGTTCCCTAAAAGAAAATAAATTTGTATTCTAAAATTTATCAACCTGGAAATGTAGCTATGTTCTTTCATCCAGGAAACGAAGACTTGTCACCTTTTTAGAAAGCCACTTACAATCGTCGATCGTTACCTGTATCACATGGTCCTGAATTGAGATAATATGTTTCAGAGACCTGCTCTAATATCGTCCCTATTATGTAAAAGTTTATAGATTGTTGATGCTGCGTGTTTAAAACATATCGACGGTGTAAGTCGGCGATCACATAACTCGTTTGAGGTGTCTGAAAATATCCGCCTCCATGTATTTTTTTAAAGGAGAACAAATTGACATCATTCCTCGAAGTTTTTGCAGAATTTTCTTCGCACTGAGAAGAAAAATCACGGCAGTTTTAAAGAATCGCCGTTGAGTAGTTTTCCGGTGAAAAAATAAAGTACGACAGGAAGTCTGCGACGTCGCAAACCGAGTCATGTGATGGCCGATTTACACCGTCGATATTGTCTCTGGTCGGAAAGGAGATCTGGAAATAAAAAACACATTGGATCTAGAGTCCAGACTCTTGAAAACATTGACAATAAAAAATACTCTTGCTTTAATCATATTTAAGCTTGAATCGAAACGAAATCCGCTCAAATTAAGAGGCCCAGTTCTTGATTTAAGCAAAAATCCGATTGAATCAAGAGTATTTTTTCTGGTCGATGTTTTTAAGAGTCTGGACTCTAGATCCAATGTATTTTTTTCCAGTGAGCCGCTCATAAAATAAGTAACGCTAAATTGTTGATAACACGACTCCTCTTCCTTCCCGTAACGCTTTTGTGGCGTAACGCTCCCGTCGGCCCACGTCCACCCGTATAGCGTTACGTATTTTATGAACGGCCCCGAATGGTTGCGTCTCCCCGGTAAGTATCCTGCTCTTTCATCTCTCTGTACTCACTGAGCATCGTCTAGCGATCTGATAAGTCCTGTTTTGTGCGTGCGCAGGTGCTCAGCGGCAACACCAACACATACCTGGAGGAGAAGAGGGAGCTGGACCCCCCGATATGGGCAAGCCGCATCCGATTCCTGCCGTACAGTTACCATAGGCGCACCGTATGCATGAGGGTTGAAATTTATGGCTGCTACTGGAGTGGTGAGTTTTTCTCCTACCTATCCCGAGCTCATAAATTATTTATTTATTAATTTATTTGTTTTTTTCCAGACGGAGCCCGGACCCGCGCTTCCTTATTCGAAGACCTGTCGGGTGTCCGGTGTCCCTTCCGAGTTTCTATTGCCCGCTCCGGTCGGCCGCCGGCCGCCTTTTTTAAGGCCCCTTCACACCGATCCGATTGTTCCCGCCGCGGGATCATTAAAACCGCGCGGTTTATCGGCCCGCCGACTCGCCGACGTAAGCGAGTTCAGTACTGCCGTGCTGAGTAAGAACGCCGTATGAGCCATCAGGCGTTGCTATTTCCCTCGACAAATCACGAATTATGACACTGACATGGTGTCTGCAAATCCGGAATTCGCAGAAATTGTACTATATAGTACAGTCCGGAAATAGTACTGATTTTTTAAGGGCGGTCCGGAAGTACTGAAAAAGTGCGGAAATTCTGCAAGGAGGTCCGAAATTTGTTTCATTTCTAAGAGAGAATGCCGTATGAGCCATCAGGCGTTGCTATTTCCCTCGACAAATCACGAATTCTCACACTGACAGGGTGTCTGGAAGTCCGGAATTTCCAGAAAGTCCGGAAATAGTACTGATTTTTTAAGTGCGGTCTGGAAGCACTGAAAAAGTGCGGAAAAAGTTCCGCAAGGAGATCCGAAATTTGTTTCATTTCTAAGCGAGAAATTCAAATATTTGAAATTTTTCGAATTTCGTCATATGGAGGACGGAGGTACTGAAAGGGTGCTGAATTTTTTTGTCGAGGAGGTACTGAATTTCTTGGGAAAGCACTGAAAAAGTATTGTTAAAGTACTGATTTTCGAGAGGAGATTTGGCAACTCTTGAATGCGCTCATACGGCGTTTTTCCGTAAGACTGCAGGGTACGTGGCAGATGCGGCTATCCGAGTATGTCGCCGTGTAAGTTTATTCCGCGGAAGATCGGAGACTAGGATTCCAACTGGAAATGAATGGCGAGATGTCTAGGAAGCGAGATCATCTTTTAAATTGGGATGTCCAGGATTTTGCCAAAATTGTGCTGATTATTTGGATTTTGATGTAACTACACGGTTAGTTGTGACCTCCACCGCGGTAGTTATCGTAACTACCGCACGGTAGCTGACGCATTTTTGACTAGCCGCTGGTTGTGTCGACTACCCTATATTTTTCCGTGTTTGTATGGAATTTCGAACGTAATATTAAAATTGAAAAGAGCACATCTTCAAGAAAAAGAATGCTAAATTAAATTAGGTTGAAAATAAAGTTAGGCACAGGTATTGAGAAAACAGGCCTGGAAGAATCTGAGATGTCGCTATAAATCAGGGGAAAAATTTATCGTACGGTCGTATGAGGGAAATTCATTAATTCCGTACACCCTCTCGAAAAAAGCACAGGAAACCGGTGGAAAATTTTCAGAAAAATTACGAGCGAGCGACACGAGGGTTGTAAAAATGTCCGACCCGCACTTTGAGTATAGGATTCCACGCTGCCTTTGGAAAAATAGTTTGTTGGCACGCTTTGGTTCGGAGGTATTAACCCCGTGAACTCCCGCGCCGCGCTAGTCAATAACGCTTGGATACGAGTGGAAGTTTTTGTCCGACGCTAGCATTGTTTTTGTTTGGCATTGTTCGGGGATGTTTTCCCCTTTTTTTCCGCACGCGTAAAACCGCGGAACTATCAAAGGTGGAAGTTATGCAAACAGCATAGCACAGCCTGACGGGGAAGAACAAAGAGACAAACGGACGTATTTCTGTCAAACGGAACTATGTGCACTGAGACATGAGCCCTGAGACCCATAAGAATATATGCATACCAGGGCTCACGTCATAATGCACGTAGTTCCGTTTGGCAGAAAAACGTCCAAACGTAATGACGCGCGTTGCCATTGCCTCCGACGACAATTATACCGAACTTTGACTGTGACAGCGTTGCCAGACTATTGAAAAAAAGTGAATCTCCCCTTTGAAAATCAAAACCTCCCTCTCCAAAAATTCTCCCTCCTAAAATTCCCTCTCGTAATTTTTTTTAAAGAAATTCTTTAATAAATCGAATAATGACTGAATCAGAAACTAAAGAAGACGGGTTAATAAAGTCTCTTGGATCCAGAGTCTGGACTCTTTAAAAAATTGACAAGAAAAAATAGTTTTATTTGATTCAATCGGATTTGTGTTTGAATTGAGAGCCAGGCCTCTTAATTTAAGCGGATTTCCTTTGATTCAAGCGAGAATCGAGATTATTATTCATGTCATGTTGTTCAGTGTCGTGGCGTGAATGATCGATCACCGATGTATCTCCATTTGAAGCTATGGTGAAGAATCGATTTTTAAGATGTTCGCTGCAACCGCCCTGTTTTCGATCCTTTTCCATAGGTTTGAATGAAATCAAATCGACATATCGCAAAGCACGCCACGCCACTGATATTGTTCGAGGGTCGGGACTCGAGCCGTTTTTCCAGAGAACAACTTCTCATATTATGCCAGGGTTTTCTTTGAATGGCAAGAAACTAATTTAAACTACATTTTGCAATGCGGAACTACAATTTCTGGCTTAGTTTAGAAACGACAAATGTACCATTAATAACCCCATGCGCATACGTTTTTTTTTACGGGAGCCAGAAATTGTAGCTCTGTATTGCAAAATGAAGCCCATCTAACTAGTGTGTGTATTTTTCCTTCCTTTTTTGTAGTTACTCGTAATTGATTTCTTCCAAACCGTCTATACGCTGAAATTGAGTGCATTACGCTTCGATTATAATTTGACTGTAGCATGAGAAATGATCTGTAACGATAACTGACGTACCACGCACCGAACCACTTATTTAGCGCTCAATAATTAGTTTACAATTTCGATCGATTAATTTTTCAGTTAATAACCCCGTTTTTATTCACTTATCGGATTGTTGATTCCTACCGGATCGAACTTTCCGCTGCGATTATAAGTTAATTCCGCCGCACATCCGAGCGCAGGATTGGAAAGTCGGGAAGCTATATTTCGCAACTACGGATGATCCGGGCGGTAAAAACGAGCCTCAGCCGCGTAATCAGACATCGGTAAATAAATAATTGAGCCGGCCAGGCCTCACTCACACAACCCTCGGTGGTAAATTGTATTAGCATCCACAAAAACACGCACACACCCTCACACGCCGCACATTGTAACGAGTCAGTGGGAGAGCTCGGACACGATTAGGAAACTTCAAAAACTCATATCTCCGTTGTGGAGAAGTCCATTTTATAGAGAATTTTCCCCTAAAAAACACCCCTGAAAATGTACACGGAGAAAAAAACTTCGTGCGTGGGACCCGAAGTTGAGGTCATATGGATCTCTGAAGTTTTCGGATCACGTATCTAAAAACTTGAGGTCCAGTTCCCGAAGTTCGGGTCAGACATCGAGACACTTCGGTATGTACCAGAGTACTTCAGATATGTGACCGGAACCCTTCGGTATACCGCACCGAAAAAAATAATATGCTGTTTTAGCATCTAGGATGTCAAAAATGTGTCTGGTGATCCCAAGATGCTGCCTTTACTGCCCCCGCAGTTGAATTTGCATTCACAGGATGTAAAATTAACTGCGGGGGCTGTAAAGGCAGCATCTTGGGATCACCAGACACATTTTTGACATCCTAGGTGCTAAAACAGCATATTATTTTTTTCGGTGCCGAACTTCGGCAGCTGGACCTCAAGTTTTTAGATACGCGATCCGAAAACTTCAGAGATCCAAATATGACCTAAACTTCGGGTCCACGCAGGAAGTTTTTTTTCTTCGTGTGAAATATGACAAATTACGAAAATTAGGAAACATGTGTTGAAAACGGATCTTTTAGAAGAGTGGGAAGTAAGGGAAGGGTGAGGGGGAATGATTGAATTAAAAATTTAAAATCTCTGTTTTAAGGCGGGTTTTTGGCCTCCTGGATGCACCTGTAAAAGTTTCAGGAAATTTCACGCGAGTAAATTCATGAAATTTTCCATCTCTGCGATGAAGAAGAACGATAAGCTCTTTATAAGTGTTTTTTTGTAATTTTCCCTGCAAAGAAATAAAATAGAGCCGCAAATTTTGAAACATCGCATGGCGCTTGTGATACTTTGGCTGGAAAGTGACGTATTAAAACGTGCATTAAAGCATTAAGTAACATATCATCCTACAAAATAAACATCAAAATTCGCTATTTCAGCCAAAAGTTCCACGTCCGGCTTTTCCCATAGGCTGGCTCCACTGTGTGTCGTTACAAAGTGAGACTTTGCGATAACCGTATTAATATCTGGACGGGGCTCAGGTGGTAGTTTGTGAAATGGCCGCCGCCGGCCGGCGAGGGTGAAATACGCGTGCATTTACTAATTAATCAGTTATTTAATACTTTACGTGGTCTGCTCGTCGCGAGCTCCTGATTTTTAATTACTTACGCCGTTGGCCGGACCCGCGTCCAGTCCGTGTGAAGTCTTGCATGCAGATGACAAAACTCGCCTCGTTTTAATGAACGGATCCTTTTAACGGCAGGGATATCCCTCCGCTATTGTTCCAGTCATCGGTTAATGCGTTCCGATGGAAAGCGATATTTCCGCGAGGGGGATCTGTTTAATTGGAGGATTGATTAAAAAGTCGACTATCCCACGGAACCAATCAGAATAGAGAGCAAAAATCGATTCATGTAGTGTCACAAGGCTTTCTGCCACTTGTTGCTAAGATTCCTTGCCGATTATTTTCGGAACGAGATCACACATTGTCATTAAATGATTCAACGATTTCTCGCTGATTGGTTCCCGTACTTAGGCCTCCACAGTTTCACAAACGGGAAAAAAGTTTACATTTTCACCTTTTTCAAAGATTATAATCTAGAATGGACCGAGGAATGACGGGTTCAACAAGGAACAAACGGAATGAGAGAAGGAACGTAGACAAGAATTTGAGAATGAGCCGATCAAAGATTACGGAAAACTGCCAATTTATGTAATCTTTATTCCCGTTTGTGACTCCATGAGGGGGTTGGTCTTGACTCTCAGTATAAAGGGACTCTATTGAACAGTAGCGAGGCATGAGCGATCGATTATCGAGCATAGAGAAAAAAAAGGAGGTGTTTGCATTTCGGGCATCTTGGAATTTTTCGATCATTCGATGACGTAGGTCGGAACAGCGACGTTTAGCGTGAAGGGGACGTCGCTGTACCGACCTACGTCATCAAATCATCAAAAAATTCCAAGATACCCGAAATGCAAACACCTCCTTTTTTTCCCCTATGATTATCGAGGAGTTCGTCGCAAACACCCTTTATATGGATCCTTTTCCTTAGGTTTAAAAGGCAGATCAATCGATATACCGCAAAGCCTGCTACACCACTGTTCCTTAAGTTGGCAACATTTACTAACCGAGAAACGGAGTTAAAACAACCGCCGCACCGCTCGCAGAGCGCCGGAGAAATTGGCGAAGTTGGGCGACATTCCGCTGATTAGAAAACAGAGTATAACTCATAAAGCGACGAAGAGTTGGATTCGCTCCGGGGCGGGGTGAGCGGGGGAGGGGGCAAGAAAATGCTACAGTTAACTGCACTTCTTTCCGGAACTAATCTAATAAAACTTGAGCGAGTCAAACTTCATTGCATCTGCTCAAGAGGTGTTGACGTGCGGAGTGTGTAATTACAATTTCGCATGCTGATTAACTTTCGCGCCGCGCTACTTCAAAGTAAACACCGAAAGAAACGGCCGATTTATCCGCGATTCCGCGCCTCTTCATTTGCATCGCCCCCGGCGAATCCCCGAGCCCGAGTTTCAGCTGAATTTCTCGGGCCCCGCTCGCGAGGCGCTGCACGACTTCCGTCCGGAATTCAAATTGGCTCCGGTAGTTACGGTATCCGAGCGGCTTCAGCGGGATGATTATCAGGGTGTCTACATGTCCGGAATTTCTGGAAAGTCCGGGAATAGTACTGATTTTTAAAAGGCGGTCCGGAAGTACTGAAAAAGTGCGGAAATTTCGCGAGCAGGTCCGGAATTTTTTCGTTTTTGTCGCAATTTGAGCGGTAGATTCAAATTTTTCGAATTTCGCCAATTGGAGGTGCTGAAAAAGTACTGAATTTTTCTATTGAGGAGGCACTGAATTTCTTGGGAATGTACTGAAAAAGTACTATAAAAGTACTGATTTTTGGCCAGCCTGTTTTAGTAGACACCCTGGATTATTGAAATGCATGGACAAAGCTATAGACGAAAGTAGTAACAACCACTCGTTTCAACCAAGAGGGTCGCTCCATTTCCCTTTGTCCATAGCTTTATCTATCTATTTTTATCAATTCGCCGACCAAGAGGGATTTCGCCTAGATTTGGGGCTTCTGCACTCTTTGATAGGACAGATGCGGCCAGGAAGCGGGGAAAAAATGTGACTTCACGATTTCCGCTAAGCGGTCAGAAAAGATAAATGGATAGATAATCAAGGATTCTCTGTTTGTTTTCAGACGGAATCATCAGTTACTCGATGCCCCAGGGGGACAAGAGAGGATCCGAGTGGGAGTTCTTCGACGCCACGTACGACGGATACTGGGACGGAATGCTCCAGAGAGGCCTCGGCCAGCTCACCGACGGCAAAGTTGGCCCCGAAAATTTCAAAATGGGCTACTACGATAGTGAAAGAGGTAAGTTGCTCACGAATAATTCATTCAAGTAGCACCCCGTGAATGGTGTATTATTTTGCCTGGGTAGGTTGCGGATGAGCACATCGTCAATCGTTCAGAAATGACTGTGAGCTCAGAACAAAAAGGCGGAGAGAGTCGCAAATTTTAATCGCCTTCATATTCGAGGGTATGCAACACGGGCTCCTCCGTGTCGAAATATTGGTATCATTTCAATGAAGGCGCTAAATTTGGTATAGCTTGAACATGAACTAATCAGCGAAGTGGATGACTTGTGTATATGACTACAAATGGGTTATTTTTCAAGTTGAAGGCGCATCCCTTGAAAAAATGTGTCCATTGTATGTGGTCGATGTATGTAGAAAATGTAAAAAATCCCTTGTATGAGCGTATATGCATTCGGCAAATTAAAGATTTTACAATGGAAGAAATAAAGGAAAGTCAAACTGCTACCATATTCAGTGCAAAAAGAGATTATTTTACTATATATTTTTTTCTCTTTGAAACTAATTTGAACTTCAGGATCGTTTCCAAAATTGATCGCTACATTTTATATTTTTTCTGCATTTCGCTTAATTCTGATGAGCTTAAAAAATTGCCAAAAAGAAGAGACCGTATTTTACATTTGGTTGAAAAGAAGAGAACATGGATGCGTTGAGCATTTATTTTCGAATATTTTTTACGAGGTCTAATCCTTAGATGCTCTTTTCAGGTCAAGGCTGGGTCGGTTGGAGGAACGATACCAGGAACGCGCAGCCCGTCGAGATCAAATTTGAATTCGACCAAGTCCGAGAATTCACAGCCGCCCACATTTTCTGCAACAACCAATTCACAAGAGATGTACAGGTGAGAATGACATGCAAATACACATTAGCTGTTTAGTATTTTTCCGCTTATCAAAGTATATGAAGAAATACAAAAATCATCCTCTCTGAAATCGTGCAATGGACATTGAGGAAAAAGTTTGTTCATTTTTTCTGCTCTATCTCCTAGAACCGCCCAGAACAGAAACAAGAATTTGAACTGCAAATAACGTTTAGTACGTTTTCCGCGTAAGCCCTACTCCATATTTTGATCAACTGCCTGCCGTAGCTCATAATTTTTCACAATTAGTTTTTCTTTTAGTGCACGAGTTTTCAATATCTCCCTGCGTTATGAAAGTAATCATTAATTTTTTGACGCGCCAGAAAGCTCCATCTCAAATACATGCGAAAGTCAAAGGTGCACATTTCGCGATCGAAAGTTCCCATCGTCATTACCGTATCGTCCGCTCCAGGTCTTTTATTCGGCCAGACGATTCTCCCCAGCCTCTCACCCCTCATGTCGACTCCGTCGGTCACCCTTATCGGTTTGCATCCGCAAGACGGATCCCAATTACTCAGCGTAAGCTTCGAGGATACTCCATCCCTGCCGCACGGTTTTGAAGAAGTTTTTCTCCTCAAGTCCCACGTTAGTTTTCTTAGACATCCCACCCCACCCCGCCACTTGAAGCCCCCCCCCCTTCTTATTAAACTAACAAAGCATCTTCCGCTCCGAGCAGTGATTTCCTTTTTCCCGCTGAATATCAACCCCATGATGAGGAGTGAAATAGGGCTCGCGGGATGATGGCAGGGCATGTTGATTCAACCTCAGAATTACCTTTTCAAGGACCCTCGAGCCTATATTAATACTGCCCCGCGGTCCCGTCAGAGACTCAGGGACGGACAAAACCCACTTAAATGGTATCTTTTCTTCGGGACTCCACGGGAAATGGGGGAAAGAGCGCGGGCTAATTAAAATGTCTTGCGATACCATTGGTCAATTGAGCCAGGGGTAATGAGTGGACCGCTACCTCTTGAGGCAATGCCACGGTGCGAGTAAAAATTTCCATGAAAATTGAGCCTTCTCCTCCTTTAGAGTTTCCTATCTTCCGTGCGCAAAGAGAAAACATTCGGACGATTTTCTGAAGTTGTCAAATTTCCTGAATGAATTTTTGGACAAACTTGTGGGTTTGTTCCTTTCAGGCTTCCTTGGGTTGGAAGAACCAGGAAACATGGGAAATATTATTGGTTAAAACCATGCATGATAAAGAATGGGAATTCAATTTCGGCACAAAAATTGTGTCACACATACATGACACTCCAATTTCGTTGAAAAAACATGATACACGTAAACAAGGGGACTCGATTAGGGCAGGGAAAACCTCGACAATTCGAGGGAATCGAAACTTGGTTGGGAATAGCATGGAACACAACACATTTTAAAATGCTCTGGAAAAACCATAAACACAAACAGAACACACAGGGGAAAACATCGATGTATATTAAATGTTGGCACTTTTTGCCGCTTTTGGCACTTAAAAAACAAGTTTATGGTTTTCATACTGGATTCTGCATTTTCTTTGCCCGCGTAAACACATGGCAAGTTCAGGAAAGACAGCTGGAATTCCAAATTTTTTAAAATTTTGTATGAACTTTTCATATTTTAGAGTTTTTCCTCCATAATACATTCTAACGTAGCGGACAGATATCCGTAGCGTAACATTCCAAAAAATGGATTTTAATCGGCGGTAATTTGACAACACTCGAAAGTTCTTCCTTTGTTTTTAAATAGCAATGCAGTGCCTGTCTCTTTCTCCGCCCGCATGGAAACGGAAGACACAAAGAGCGACCGAAGTTCCCTCGTCCATCCTTCCCGAACCCAAGTTCGGGAGGTAAGAAAGAGGCGGAATTAAGAATGAAAGTGAAATAAGTAGGCCCTTCCGAAGCGCCGTGCAGGAATTAATTATTCACTCTCGCTTCTTCCGCTGTGCTGAGGAAAAACGCCGTGTGAACATTCGAGAGTTGCCAAATTTCCTTCGATAATATGTTTATTTTTGGGGAAAGTCATGAATGTTTTTCCGTGAAATTTGCAGGGACTTTAAGTGAAATTGCAAAAAAAAATTATTTGAAAAATTGGAAGGAAAACATTCATAAGTTTACCAAGAAATTCGTGTTTTATCAAAGGAAATTCGGCAACGCCTGAAGGTTTATACGACGTTTTTCCTTAGCACGGCAGTCTTATACACCCGCGGAACGGAATGTCTCACTACCGCTGCTGTGACAGACGTCCAGCATGTTTTATTCAGCGTTTTCTCTACCCTCCTCACCCCCCTCCCACTTCCACCCCCGCGATGTATTTTGTTTACCTTATTTAGTAGTAGTGCGAAGTGTTTCCTCGCTGATGGCATTTTTAAACAGGTACTAATAGGAGTACCTGTTTATCACTTGCCGGGCCCGGGAGGTATTTAAAAGCTTGATTTTGAACGCGTGTTGGCTCTTTTGACGCGATTTCGTATCGCTTCGGGGTTCATTTACGCTCCCCTCGAAGCGGCGTCCCCCGGGGCCGGGTTTAATCAGCCGCAGCCGGTATTCAGCATGAGAAGTGGTGATACACTCGTCAGTTCATGAAAGGCTCATTGACTTCTTTTGAATTGCGCTAATAGGGCTGTGGTGAGTGGGGTGTGGGAAACTCCTCATTTTTCCAGACAATGCAAGGGCGACACTGTAGAGTCTCGCTTATACGCGGTGATCGGGACTCATGTTACCGCGGATACTCGGAAATCGCGGATAAGCCGAAACTTTACAATGCGCGTTGGGGAAGAGCTCATAAGCGGAAGAATTATCCGGAAGAGTCTCGGTTATACGCGGTAATCGGGACTCATGTTACCGCGGATACGCGGAAATCGCGGATAAGCCGAAACTTTACAATGCGCGTTGGGAAAGAGCTCATAAGATTTCATCAGGATTTGAGGAAAAATCGGTCGTAAAATCAGGATTTGAGAAAAGTCGGCTATCCGAACGGACTTTTTTTTGGTATCTTATACGGTTATGTAGAAATTTTAATTTTTCCCCGGAAAAAAGCGGATTAGGATTTGGAAAAATTATGAAATCAGGATTAGCAGTCAAAAATGAGGAAAAATCAGAATTTCATCAGGATTTCCCAAAATGAAAAAAAATGGACACCCCGTTGTAAGAATGAGGCGAAAATTTCGGTTAACCTGTTGAGACGTTTTTCTATGGGGAGGGCAAAAGCCACTCATGGGGGCCCGCGGCGTTGGGCGTTGGTTGGTCGGGGTGACAGTTACAAATAGGAGCCCGTCGGAGGAGTGGTGACGATAAGCCGTTCGCAGGGAGAAAATTATTCTCGAAGCCGTTTTAACGAGTGTCTCGACGACCCAACAGGTACATCGCTCTCCGCCCTTCGCCGCCGCCTCGCTTGCTTTTTTGATTTTCACAGCAAATCCCTTCAGCCGGGCCGCTGCAAGGCAAGGCGCTGAAAACAATTTTCATTTTTCAAAGCCCCACCAAGCTATTTTTCTTCCAAGGAGTGAAAACGCTCCCCCTCGAGTCGGCCGACCGGGTACTCTCACTCCGTTGCTGCCGAATCCGCTTAATGTTTTTGGTTTATTTTATTATTATTCTCTTTCTTTTTCTTCTTCTCATTCCTCTCCTCCTCCTCCTTTCCCTTCTCCTTTTCCTCCATCTTTCTTTCCCCCTTCTTCTCCTGCTCCTTCCTCACCTTCTTTTTCTCCCTCTCCTTTCTCTCCTCCCTCTCCTCCTGCTCCTTCTTCACCTTCTCTTTCTCCTTCTTTCCTTTTTCTGCTCTTTCTTCTTCACCTTTTCTTCTTCTTCTCCTCTTCTCCTTCTTTTTCTCCTTCTCCCTCTTTTTCTTCTTCTTTTCCTCCTTCTCCTTCTTCTTTTCCTTCTCCTTCTTTTTCTCCTTTTTCTCCTTCTTTTCTCTTTCTTTTTCTCCTTTTTCTCCTTCTTTTCTTCTTCTTCTCTTTCTTTTTCTCCTTCTTCTCCTTCTTCTCCTTCTTTTCTCCTTCTTTTTCTCCTTTTTCTCCTTTTTTTTCTCCTTCTTCTTGAAATTGAAACGACAACTTATTTATGAGAAGTAGGAAATGAATTTTCCAAGAGGCAGTTTCTCTGTTTTCCGAAAATTCTCTTCCTTTTTCATCAAAATCGATCCAATCACTGTTGTCCCACGAAGGACCCTGCCGCGAGAAATTTCTATGAAAGCCTCTCCGTATTCCGAGGGGAATTTTTGTAATCCCCCATCAGAAACCAAGGACTAACCCCCAGATTACAAATACTAAGACGAGGGAGTCAATTGAAAAAACCGCGATTCCTAACGAAGTCAAACAAGATCAAAATATGATTCCTGGCTTCCAAGACCACGTAGCTACCATCGGGGTGCAAACAACCCTAAAAAAGCGGCCCTCATTACCTCGAGCCCGCAGCCCTTTAAGCCACCCCCTCGAAATGCTGATCGCAGCCGTTTCAGCCCCCGATCGCTGCTGAAATAAGCACTCGGGCGGCCGAAAGAAACGCAGGGGCTTAAATTTATGCGTGCTTTATCGGCCCCGTAAGCGGAACGTCACTCCACGCAAAACCCCTCAACTTAAACCCACATAGTATGTAGATACGTTGTTTTTGCTCAGGGCGACAGCGTTCGAGGGTGTGCGTGAGTGTGTGCCTTTTTTGTGTTTAAATTAATGAGGCTTGCGAAATGCACGCCATAAGCTCCTTTTGTCTGAATTTAATTACGCAGTGTGGTGGGTGGCTGCGCGTATGCCGAAATGTGCCGAAAACATACATTTTTATGCATTATCTTACCGGGGGTTCGGGTGAATTTATTTCCGATCTGGCAACACCGGGTGGCTTATCTAGTGTGTGGTGGTCTCGCGCGCGGAGCTTTTGAGGCGACGCTCGCTTCGCGTGGCATCTTCCCGAGCTTTCCACGGTTGCCGGATGTCTTCATAATTTAAATCGCTAATAATTTCTGGTTTACTATTGTCAATTTTGTTGATTCGGAAGGAGGATTGG